GCACCTTTCTTCTGAGTCTGATTGATTTGGATCAAACCTGGGAGGCACTGAGGTGTCCCTACTTGCTCTATAGGATCCCTCAACACCTAACTTGTAGGTTTGGATCACTCTCCTTAATGAGAAGCTTAAATTTGGGGCTATGAAGCCCAAATGGAAGCATGTTGAAGGTTGATTAGGATCTGGCCTTAAATGACTTAGAAACACATGGGAACTCTGTAGGAGGATGAGGAGTTTAATCTAGATGTCCCAACTCCTAAAGCATCCTTCTTCCCAACCGTAAAACATATATAATACCACTTAGCTCAGCTCTCCATGACTTAATGCCTGTGCTTTGAGATACCTGAATTAAAGGTATTACAAAAGTGCTAATACATGCTCCTAAAACAATATTCTAATTATTAGAACCTATAAAGAAATAGGACCTTCCCTTCATAGGCCTGCTCTGTGGAATAGGATCTGATAGCTTAGCAGACAGCTCTTTCAAAGAAAATATTTATTAAAAGTTTATTTACTTCTGCAAACATTTTTCACTCCTGCTTCTTTTATGCCCAGGGTGATAGTGTGGAAGCTGCCCATTATACTGAAAAGTGATAAACAGGGATGACATACTTTTAACCATTTTTATGGGATCCCTTAAATTGTTCTGAAAAAAATATTTCATTAAAAAAAAAGTCTAATTTATCCATTAATTAAATCCCCAAACTGGGCAATATGTCTTTGGATTCCCCAGGCCCTGAAGAATTTCTAGGGTTTTCTCTTTAAATGAAAGAATCCTATGGATCTTTTTCTCTAACATGATTATAGCATTGCAGAACGTTTCAGAATAGAGAAATGACAGGTTTATTTTATGAAGGTTTTGAAGATATATTAGATGTTCTTCCTCTACTTTCTGCAGAACAACACACTTTGTAAGGTGGCAAAATATGTGAGAAAGCAGTTAATCAGAACAGAGCTCAATTACTACTTTTAGAGCAAACATTTTCAACTATTGTGAAGTTGCTAATTACACTTTCCTTTAATAACTGCTTGTGTGATACCTTTTCCTGGCCCCTGTATTGACTGATGCAAACACATACCAGAATCCAGGGTTATATAGCAAACACATGGGGACACGCAGCATCCCTATACTCTGCCCTTCCAAGTGCAAAAGAATCACACAGAGGTGAAAGCTGAACCTCCCCAGGCAGGTGAAAGCATTATTGGAGTTGGGAATGAATCGGCTGACCGAAGGAATGGAGTTGGACAGGATCAACCAGTTGTAAAGCTGGCCATACTTCTCCAGAGTTCACCAGGAGTGACCTTTAGAGAGCCAACCCAAAGGTTAGGTACCTTTTTTGGTTCTATTTAAACACCATGCAGGCAGTTCAATTTGGACTGAAATCATGGTTACAACTTAGACCAGAGCTTTCCAAACTTTTCATGTTGGTGACACACTTTTTAGATATGCATCATTTCGCGACACAGTAATTCAGTTCCGGGGGAGGGGCCAAGGGAAGCAGACGCGAGTAAGGGAGCTCCGCGGTGCCCTTCCGCAAAATTTTCTGCATTTCGCGCGACACACCTACACACTGCCGCCGACACACTAATGTGTCGCGGCACACAGTTTGGAAAGCTCTGACTTAGACTGTCAGTTTGCACAGGGGTGCCTTTCACCCAAAATACACCACTTCATTTTCCTCTCCCCCCAAAATTTGTAGACGGTTCTTTAATGACTGAGGAAAAGCCCCCTATGCCCACCTTAGCTGCAAGACCCTAAATAAGCCCCTTTTAAAACCCGCCTCTGACATTTTGCTCATAATAACCCAAGCTTACATATAAATGGCCTATTGTTCCCTTTCTCTATATGCATTTAGATGCAAGGTCTGCAAAGTCAGGACTGACCTCCTAACAGGTTTTAAAAGCACCTTATTCACAGGGCTTCAGTTAATACATACAACAGCTAAGTGCCAGTAGTGCTTTATAGACCACAACATAGCAGCTTTTATTGAAAAAGGAAAACAAAGGCACTGGAGGGATGGGTATTCTGTGGAGAAAAATTCTCCTAACACTTAAGGGGTTTGTATCCATCCCCAGTTATCGTGGGGTTATGTGACAGGAGCAGTTATTGACTGTGAATCTTCACTTTCTTTTCCCATTCTGTATTTGCTATCAAACACAGGTTTCCTTGGAAGAAAACAGCACAACCCACTGGCTATGGAGTCAAACTGTTCTAGTTTCATCCTGTATGGAGTGCTGCTTGCTTGCGTGACCCACATGTCAGCATGTCAGCACCTGTTGTGCTCTGGGTTTGATCCATGGAGGACATGGATCTGTTTGAGCTCTAGGCTGAAGAGTCTGTTGTTTCAATTCAGTCTGTAAATACCCATGGCTTTTTGCTCTGGAAGTCCCACTTCAGTCCCAGCTGTTGGCACTGTATCAGCTTTGAGCTGCTTGAATGTTTTGTTTTTCAGGTTAGCACAGGGTGCTAAGGTCTCAATCCTATGCCTTTGAGAACCATGACAAAGCTCCCATTAACTTCAATTGTGCAGGATGAGGTCCTGAGATCATATGCTAGATAGAGAGGACAGGAAGGGTGAAATCTTCAAATACAAGCCAAGCTGGGAGCACTCAGCATTGTGTAGCAAAGGGTTTTAATAAAGCCACCTACTATTTAGCAGAGCTTCAATCAAAAGAATGAGCAGCTTCTCCTGGAGGACTTGGAAAGTCTGACAAGGTATGCAGGATATTTATCAAATATTTCTTTTGCATTGTCTTATTATTTGTATTATAATAGCACCTAGAGGCCTTGTCGTGTTAGGTACTTGTCCAAATTTTTTAAAAAGTCATCCAATAATCACAGCTTTCTTAATAGCTGTTTATTTTAAATTTCAGTCCCCATCAGCTCTTTAATAACTGCATGCTGCCCCGGTTCTTCACCAACAGAAGTCACCAGAAAATAACTAATTTTTCCCCAACCCTCCACTGGAAGTCCCCAAAATTTGGAAAAACAAAACTTGCTTCCGGTCCACCTGAAATCATTTCATTGTGAAATTCTTGGCAAACAAAAAAGCTTCACTGTAATACTGGATCATCAAGATTTTTTAGATAATAAAATCGAAGGGAACTTTGAAAGACAAGTCGTTTCACATGGAAAAAAATGTTTTGAAAAAGTTGAAATAATGTTTCATACTGAAAAAAATTGAAACTTAAAAAAAAAAAAAAAAACTTTTTCCAAATATGAGCATTTTGGCCAAACCTGCTTTAAAAAAAAAAAAAAAAAACCCTTTTCCTGAAAATAGTTGTCACATTATTATTTACAACAAGGGGCCTTTCTCTTTAGAGCAGCACCTGAAGACAGCAGAAGCCAAAACTCCTAACAATATTGGAAAATATAGGAACTCCTAACTCCTATTGGGCATTTTTTTAACCTAGTAAGATGGCAACTGTACCAAAAACATCATGAGCAGAAAAAGACTTTGGGAGATAATATGATGGTAAACCAAGAAAGAAGAGCTGGAAAGGAACAGACGGATAATAAGAGGGTGGAGAGGTCACTTTTCTGAGGCAATGAGAAAAAGTAGGCAGAAGATCGAAAGGCTGGGAAGAGGTAGCGGATACATTACAAAAGAAATAAACTGCTATTGAAAATACTAAGCCTCAGCCTTAGCTAATAGGTATATCAAGGAACTAACTGAGAGCAGATAAGAAGCACCATATTATGGGTTAGAGAGAGCAGTGCGACAATGAAGGACCGATAGGTACCAAAGTATAGATCTGTCACTGAACTGCA